TATTTTCCATCTGTAAAATAGTTTGAAACTTGGTTAATAAGAAAACTCATTTGAAGTCGCATCAAGTCAAAGTATAAGTTGATCTTTACCATCAAATAAATTGATTAATCATTCTGAGTAATATATTAGTTGTTAGTGGTTGGAGGAAACAAAATAAATGGACGAATCGTGTTTACATACCAAATTCTCATTATATCCTTAATTAACTGTCAATGACACAAAATAACTATCAAATAGCCACCAGACTAACTGACAGGCAAACAGTGTAGTTTATTTGGTATATATATTAAATGACAGACCAATTGACTGGCCGAGTTATAGAGTTATTTTGTATCTATCGCTTGTTAATGGAAATAAAATCATCAATGGTTTATCATAGATATTGGTTTATTGAACAGAGAAACTAGCTAGTAGATTGGAACACGATGACAGCGAACAACCAATGAATTGATGTAAACTATCGTGTTCAACTAGTGTGCAGATTGTGACACAGGTTGTGTTCATCGAGCCACCGTTGATCTGAAGTATCGAGTTCATTGAGACACCATTGATCTGAACAATCGTGTTGTTCATCGAGCCACTATTGATCTGAACTATCGTGTTGTTCATCGAGCCACCATTGATCTGAACAATCGTGTTGTTCATCGAGCCACCATTGATCTGATCGAGCCACCATTGATATGAACAATCGTGTTTTTCATCGAGTCACCATTGATCTGAACAATCGTGTTGTTTATCGAGCCACCATTGATCTGAACAATCCTGTTGTTCATCGAGCCACCATTGATCTGATCGAGCCACCATTGATCTGATCGAGCCACCATTAATCTGAACAATCGTGTTGTTCATCGAGCCGACATTGATCTGAACAATCGTGTTGATTGAGCAACAATTGATCTGAACTATCGTGTACATTGAGCCACCGTTGATCTGAACTATCGTGTTCATTGAGCCACCGTTGATCTGAACTAGCCACATTTAAAATATTTTTTTCAACAAGCTGTCAGTTGTAATACAAGCCAGTCAGTCAGCCGTCAAACTATTGTCTCTAACTAACTAGTGGGAGCCGCGGTGGCTCAGTGAGTTAGACGCTTGCTCGCTAACCTGAAGGTCCAGGGTTCAATCCTGGCATAGCTCGAGATAATACCTTCGGATTTTTCAACCCAGTTTCCCCCGCCAGTGATGCAGGTAAGAGGGGCTGACATGGAAAAAGCGTCTAGTCGTTCGGATGGGACAATAAACCGTATGCTACAGGCTGTGCACGTTAAAGATCCCTCGGCAGTTGGAAATCGAAAAAGAGCAGGCTAATGCCGCTGCCCTGGCAAAAATTTCCCTCATCGCACCCTGCATGGCGTTGCCTGTCTTCATTAGCCCACATGATATAGAAAAGTAGGACGTAAAACTCCATTCATTTCATTTCATTTCCAACCAACTAGTAAATTTTGACATGATTGCAGTGAGGCACCATAAACCTGTAGTTATATCAACCATTTTGGTCAATTGTATTTTAATTTTAAATAGTGGGCAATGAGTAAATTACACATTCAATAATATCGGACCAACTGGCCTGATTTTAGTAGAAACACTCTAGATCAAATGAATCACAAAGTTTCGCTGTTTCTGAATGGCTGTTGGAAACAAGGTTCAAACCGGAAGTAAACGTCTGCCTCGGAAGTAATGTCATTATTAATGGCCTTATATCTCTTTATATCAATTTATCTACCGTTAACTTTACTTTGAAGTTTAAATGATTAAATTCGGATTGTCGTGTCCAAGATTAACACATCCTTTGATCCTCTGTTTTTTACTTTGTTGTCTATTCTCCCATAAAAGACAGTGAACTGATTTTAGTTCATGGTTAGGACTTGTAAATTGGTCACATATTCTCGAAAAGATCTTATCGCTAGGGTCTTAACTTCTAACACTGTTTCTAGGATATCCTAGGGTCTTAACTTCTAACACTGTTTCTAGGATATCCTAGGGTCTTAACTTCTAACATTGTTTCTAGGATATCCCAGGGTTTTAACTTCTAACACTGTTTCTGGGATATTCTAGGGTCTTAACTTCTAACACCGTTTCTAGGATATCCTAGGGTTTTAACTTCTAACACTGTCTCTAGGATATCCTAGGGTCTTAACTTCTAACACTGTTTCTAGGATATCCTAGGGTCTTAACTTCTAACACTGTTTCTAGGATATCCTAGGGTCTTAACTTCTAACACTGTTTCTAGGATATCCTAGGGTCTTAACTTCTAACACTGTTTCTAGGATGTCCTAGGGTCTTAACTTCTAACACTGTTTCTAGGATATCCTAGGGTCTTAACTTCTAACACTGTTTCTAGGATATCCTAGGGTCTTAAGTTCTAACACTGTTTCTAGGATGTCCTAGGGTCTTAACTTCTAACACTGTTTCTAGGATATCCTAGGGTCTTAACTTCTAACACTGTTTCTAGGATGTCCTAGGGTCTTAACTTCTAACACTGTTTCTAGGATATCCTAGGGTCTTAACTTCTAACACTGTTTCTAGGATATCCTAGGGTCTTAACTTCTAACACTGTTTCTAGGATGTCCTAGGGTCTTAACTTCTAACACTGTTTCTAGGATGTCCTAGGGTCTTAACTTCTAACACTGTTTCTAGGATGTCCTAGGGTATTAACTTCTAACACTGTTTCTAGGATATCCTAGGATCTTAACTTCTAACACTGTTTCTAGGATATCCTAGGGTCTTAACTTCTAACACTGTTTCTAGGATGTCCTAGGGTCTTAACTTCTAACACTGTTTCTAGGATATCCTAGGGTCTTAACTTCTAACACTGTTTCTAGGATATCCTAGGGTATTAAGTTCTAACACTGTTTCTAGAATATCCTAGGGTCTTAACTTCTTACACTGTTTCTAGGATGTCCTAGGGTCTTAACTTCTAACACTGTTTCTAACTTCTAACACTGTTTCTAGGATGTCCCAGAGTCTTAACTTCTAACACTGTTTCTAGGATATCCTAGGTTCTTAATTTCTAACATTGTTTCTATGATATCCTAGGTTCCTAACTTCTACTCATGTTACTAGGCTATCCTAGCGCTAAGATATTTCGTGAAACATTGTCTGAGTTAACTGTCTTCTTTGAACCACCATAAACGATCAGGCAAATGCCAAAAACATGATCCACCTTTTGAAAAATGTACAGGCTCGTAAAGACGGCAACAGTAGAAGCAATCAGAAGTTTATTGATAGGACTACTGCTTTGTTAAAGAGAAACGTATTACATTGGCCAAACGGAGCCACCAGTCTTAAAGAAACTTTAATCATAAGATTATTCTAACAACCACGGCTTCGTTTATTGGACAAACTTTCTGAAAACATAGCCTTGGCTTTCATAAACAAATAGCGAATTGCGATGATGTATAATATGACATGTAGAATTGTAGTCATCATGTATAAAGACCCCATTAGTAATTGTTAAACTAAAATAGCCTTGAAATAAATCATTAGTGAATTGAAATATCGAATCTGTGGTAATTTTCTAAGCACGAGACACTATTAGTTGATATGGAAACTAAGTCAAACATCTAAACTCCATTATTACTGTTCCAATTTCCACGTTACCTTCTCAATAAATAAGTCATTTTCTCTTAGCACCTTTTTACTCTATTCTTTAAAAAACTTCAAAGCAATTTACCGTAAATAACAGAATCTAAACGAGAAATCGATATGTCAGTCTGAATAGCTGTAAGAAAATCAAAACTGATATTTCATACACCTCCATGGCTAGTACAAGACACCCTGACCCTATCTACAGATTGTCAATAGAATATTGTCATGATTAATCACCCCCTGTACTGGGTCTGATAATGAAATGAATGGAGTTTTACGTCCTACCTACACAGGGTAGGCTCAAGGTCTTGAGCGTCTCCAGTATAATAAAAAAGTTTTCTTACCAGTCCCGTTTTAATAACGAATGGAAATGTGAGTCATTTAGAATCCGTTTCGTGATAACATACGAATTGTGTATTAGCGAAACCTAAAGTATGTGAGCCCCAGGTTTTTAATAACATTTTGGACTACTTTGTTTTAAAACTACAAGAGCCAATTGGTTAAATCGATTAAAATATTCAGATTGGCACTTGAGGATACATTAAGATTTATTTACCGAGGTGTCGAGAGGAAACGAGGGGTGCTAAATAGTAATAGAGTTAATGGTGAAGTATGGTTTATTGTGAATTTATTTCAAGAATTAGAATACACCAGGACAGTCTAGGATTTGTGATTCTATCAACCCAATGACAATCTTATATCCTTTTTTTAAACCATATTTTATTCACATATATACATATGAAAAGGATTAGGGAACAGGATTTCGTCTATATAACCCCTTTCAGGTTTCAGTCCATTAGATTCCAATCTACGATTTATAGTAGTCATAGTAATATCATGCCTTCGTCGTTATTAACTACCACTGAGAATTCATATATTATCACATCTTTCTACAGAGGCGTAAGAGACGTGTAGGCGTAATTTCATACTTTTGGGACACCAACTGAAAAAACCTCGGGCAGATAAAAAGCGCGTTTTCGCAAACTCGCGCCTTCTGTGCTCAGATTCGTGCTTGGCCCAACAACTAAACAATTTACAATTTTTGGGCAAACTAACCTACCCTCTCAAAGAGATCTTCGACCCGTACGCCTATGACTTTCTGTGGTATATATTGATTGCCAATTGGCCAACCGGATATGGATAGCCGAAATTTAAGGCTATTAGCTATAGTAAAGCGAGTGACAGGTTATAAATTAACGATAAGATATATCTTTTTAACAGCGAATTGTTATTATGTAGTGTATCAATTGTTTGTATTCGTATCGAGATCTCTCTTGTTGTAAAAGGAAAACAAAGATTGGCATTAGATTGCATCTAACCACATGACCCTTCGTTTAGATTATAAACTATTTATTTCCTATATAGTAGACAGTAGAGAATTAAATAGAAATTAAATAAAGAATCAAGCTTACCCTATAAAAGTAAAAATTCCAACTTTAGCAATATCATCTTTGATGAATTTCCACGAGTTTAATATCAAAGTTTTTTCCTCTTCAGATAAAACCGGTGGATTCTCTTTCTTAGACACAGAACTTTTAGAAACGCTACCATTTTGTGGTTCGGGAGATTTTTCCTTTTCTTGTCGACAGCTGTAAGCGCCCATATTAACACTTTGTTATCATATATCCCAATAGGTTATAGACTTAATCCTTTGTCGGTGCTTTCGTGGACGTATTACTGATACAAAGTTACAACCAGCTGTGTCTTATTTTGTCTACAGCATTCTTGATCACTTCCGGAGACATATATAATATCTGCTGTTATGAGTCACAAATCATAGGTAAACACTCGTAAAGACGACAATTGAAGCAATCACAAGGATATTTCAAGGTTCACGGCTTCGTTATGGATCACACTTTTAGAAAACGTAGTCCTAGCTTTCGTGGGTAACAAAATAATATCTCTATCCCAACGTATATAGTTTCTCCTAGATAGCGGATCGTTTGCGTCTATAACACTTGGGAAGTAGATTTTTATACGTTACGTTAGATCCCTAGCTTAGAAATAAATCACTTGTCCAGGACATGTTATCAATTATTTTAATGTAGATCCTCTATAACTAGCTACGAGTTGCCAGAACAAAGGAGTTTTTGTCACGTGTTCCGATGGATTGTGGGTTTCCTAATTGGTCAAAAAATAGCAATTATTCATTAGCAGCACAGACCTAAAACCAAACAAAGTTCTTTAATTTCAATATAAAAAGGAGGATACATTTGCAATGAATCGACCTCGCATTTAATTATCGGTTATTTATCAAACCTCTGATTCAACCAAAATCAACAAATCACAGGTTCATGAGTAGAATCCTTAAAATCCTTACACATCATAAAAACAACTGACAGTACTTCAGCCCTATTTTGCAAATCTCACCAAGAACATTCAGCGCTAATCTACAATAAGCCGAGTGCTATAAAACGTGGAACACTGGTTTAACCAAACTCCAAAAGCATCACCATCTATATCAACAGTCAAGTGCTACATGTCTGTTTTCAGCAATGAGCAATTTACAGTCTAGCACCACAACTAGTAACACTACTACAACCCTATATGACGAATCTCACCAAAATCACTGACTCTGAGCAACTTATCTATAATCAGCAGACATGAGTCCAGTGTGAAAACAGACAACTGTATATCACTAACTTGACAGACCAATCCATCCACAGACAAACATACGCCTGGACACACAACAATGACACGAAACGAAAAAAATCCGATGCCGAATCCAAAAGCACTTTCTGACCGTTTGAGATTCTTTTTTGACCAGCAGCCTTGTTCTGGATCTCTTATCGGCTTATATCACCGAATTTATAGCCTGAGTCACCCTAAGATGGCTGTGCTCCTTGGCATGTAACATAAACAAGAAAAACCAAGAACATCTGACTTTTATAGACCAAATCTTACTCCCGACGAGCATGATCTTTAACATACAACAAAAACACGAAACTTTACATCGAGTTATATTAATCTGTTTATCTCGATTCCATGTTTCTTATACTCCTGAATTCCCAATGGTAGGTAAATTTATCATAAGTGACTAGATGAGGGTTCCCAGTGCTCTTCATTCACCAAGATACCAGGATTCCTGTCACAAATACCAGCATAAACCCTGATGATATGATATACTGAATTGTCCAACCACAAAACTATTATTGTATCCGTTTGTATCTCAAAACTCTTTATTCATCAAGACGACAGAATTTCTTCCAGCAAGGAGTCAAATGATATGATACACTGAAACACTAATGAAGTTCCCAACCACAAAATTTTATTACTTTGTATCCCCCCTACTCTTTATTCGCCAAAATAGCTACGGAAAAAATACATGTCAGCAGATATGATACACCAAAGAGTTGACCAACCACAAAACTTTTGATAATGTATCGGATGTATCGCCAAAACTCTCCATTCGTCAAGATTACAACTGAGAAAAAGAGTCAGATGAAATAATAGAATGATCAAGGGCTGTCAAACCACAAAACTTCTAATAATGTACCTTTTTTTATCCTAAAACTCTATATCAACAATGATGGCTACTTAAAAACATGCCTGTCAGTATAGAGTCAGAAGAAATAATACAACTATGAAGTTTCCTTCCACAAAACTTTTAATATATCACTTTGTATACCCCAAACTCTTTATTTCCCAAGATGACAACTGACAAACTGTCTGTCAGAGAATCAGATGAAATAGTACACCAATGAAGTATTTAACCACAAAACCATCAATGAATCGCTTTGTACCCCAAAACTCTTTCTATACAATGTCTGTCAGTAGGGAGACAAACGATATGATACACCAAAGATTTGTTCAACCACATAACGTTTAATGTATCCGTTTGTATCCCCGAACTCCCTTTTCTCAAAGATGACAACTGAAATAAAACGGTGTTTCACATCTCTACTATGATGGAGATGATAAGAGTTAATCCAGGATAGAGTCAAAGAATTCCATCACAAAACCTTACAACTATTATCGAGACCAACACAAGTTGAACACCGTATCTTGTATGATTCCAACCTCCTTAACTTAATGCTCTTGTTAATTCCAAAATGAGCCAAAAAGTCTACGCTTACATCGCAGAACACTCTTTTAAATTCTTCCTAATCCATCATATCTGACAGCAATAACCAGGAATGATAAAATAAGTATTAAAACCTAGCAGTTTAACTCCAATTTGAACGTCCCAACATAATTCCTAACCAAATTCCAGCACTGCATCGATTATATACAGAAAGTTAGCGAAACATAAAAGAATCTATTAAATTTTGTGGAAACTGGTTTGTAAAGCTCAATAAATCAATGACAAATAAACCATCATTGACTGTGGGTAGGATTTCTAACGCTCGGTTTGTTCAGAATCAAACAGATTAAGTTAAATACGTCTGATTGCGGAGAAAATAAAATATAAAATTTCGCCATTTAAAATAATTTTCCAAATGACAATGGCCGCAAATATAATCATGCAAGAAGAATTAAAATAGTTATTCAAAATGGAAGAAAAATGAAAATGAGATATCTCCATTACAATGATTACTCAAGGATGAATAACAGTTATTTAAATCACAAGGAATTCTGTAATATATCATGAGCTCATTGTAGGAGGAATTATCGACAGCACCCCAACAAGGAACCAAAAATAGTCATTCAAATCACAATATACCAATATCAAAACTATTATACACATCACAAGAAGAAAACTGGCATATATCTATCAAAACCATTATTTAAATCATCAAGAGATGACCGAATCAGTGAACATAACTTTGTCATAGATGTCATCAGATCATAGTATAACTGAACCGATTGAGATCTATGAAGGGAAATAACTGGAGATGTATTTCAATCAGATTTTAAACGATACTCCATTAAAAATACTCATTCATAAAAACGTTACGAAAACAGAAACTGTGCATAAAAACATTAATGGCAAAACCACGTTTCAGTAATATCAGTGAACAACTCTATACTTGTTCTCTCGCTAGCAATTACCTCACGAAGACCTGTTAATTCCATCGTCTTCTCAGATGAAATTGTGTTTAAAATTCCATCCACTTAGCACCTAATTTAAATATTTAAAAACATGAAGTAGGTTATCTTTCATCTGCTGTAAGCATCATACGCCCAGTGGATTGATAAAAACATAAAAATACACATTCATTCCAATTGCGATGAAATACCCTAGAAAACGTGACCCCACATCACGTTAGAGGTATTAACTCTTTCAACAACACCACTGCTTATTGATGATAAAAATTACACATAAATTCTACGACTCAGGGCGATGAAACACTCCATCTACATTGGTTTTATAAACATAAATACATTCATTCCAATACCCTAGAAAACGTGACCTCTGTGGGTGCTGGATGAAAAACCCTTGAAAAACTGGCCCTAATTCACGCCTGGGGTACTAGCCCTTTCAACAAAACAACTGCAACAGGTCATAGAAACAATGACCAACTATCATCTAATGATAACAAGTATATACTACGACTGGGAGCGATGGAATGCCCTAGACAACATGACTTCATCTCACAACTGAACAGTCATTCCTTGCAATACACTCACAGTATTTCCACTTGTGATAAAATTGCTCCAGTAAACCAGAAGAGCAATACGATTAAGGTAAACAACCACTTCAGAACACCCACTGATACACATGAAATCAACAAATGAGGATGGATTACCATGGAGCACCTAGATCCTGTCTAAAAACGTCTAGAACACCTAGAAATGTCACGAATTGGGCACTTATAATTTTTAACCAAAACCCATGATCAAATGCGTAGAGGGCCAAAATGACCATAGGGTTCGGGTAGGAGAATATCTGCCAGTAATCGGAAAAATAAAACTCTTGCCTTTTTAAGTTATGGAACACCCACGAACCCACAAACTAATCTTATGTCTGTTCTTCTGTTAACTAACGTCAACTACGCAATAGCATAAATATTCGCCTAATCTTTTGTAAAGGAATTTCAAAGTCTGATTTTAAAAATCCCAAGAGGTTTAAAATATTCATTGTTCCAACTGTTTCAATTGATTTTACAACCTTAATTTTCACAGACGAATTTATAGAAGCGACTGACAGATTGAAATAGATTGTAAAAGAAAACTCTAGAGAATTGTATCAGCTGAAAGTCGAGAAACATCGCAGATAAACTGTGATTGCTTCCTTTCTGAGACCAAAATAAACATTACTACTTACGTGAACACTCGGAAAAGAATGCAGTGTTGAAAAACCTGCATACCAAAAAAAAAAAAACGTTATAAGCTGTGTGGAATCTCAGAAAAGGATGCAGAGTTGACAAAAATGAACACCAAAAAAATGTTATTAACTATGTGGACTCTCTGAAAAGGATGCGGAGTTGACAAACCTATTTACTAAAGCCAAATGCTAGAATCAGGTGTCTCGTTAGGTTGCGTATGCTAAGTCACGATGCTCAGTGAACAATTCTGATTTATAGCGAAATATCCAATTAGCAACACTAACTGGCCAAGTCCAGATTGGGTCGACAACAC